GTTTGTTAAAACCTAGAGTGTACAACACAAAGAGTGAACCCTAATGTAAATTGTGTACTTTACTTAATAAAAAAAGTATCAGTAATGACTCATCAATTTTAACAAATATACCATACTAATGCAAAATGTTAGTAATAGCATAAACTGTGTGGAGAGTGAGAGAGGCGTTACCTGGGAACTCACTGTACTTTCCACTCACATTTCCCATAGAACTAAATTACTCTGAAAACAAAGTCTATTGTAAGAAGAGGAATGAAGTACTGATTCATGCTGTAACCTGAATGAGCCTTGGAAACATTATTCTTAGTTAAAAGAGCCAGTTGTATGAATTTCATCTGTATGAAATGTCTAGAATAAGCAAATATAGGGCAGAAACTAGGCTGGTGGCAGCGGTGGAGGAGTGCGTGGTTAGTTGAGAGGAAATAGGAAGTTGCTAATGGCCACCGAGTTTCTTTTTGGATTGTTGAAAATGTTCTAAAATTGATGGTTGTGTAATTGTATATACTAAAAAACATTGAATGATACATTTAAGTGGGTGAATTTTATGGTATGTAAATGATATCTTAATAAATTCACTTTTTAAAAGTAACAGCAATTAAGTAGTTAATTGCTTGCAGTAATTTGCCTGTATTCTGCATAGCAAAGCTAAAGACTTCTGCTAGGTACTTCTAGTCCTTCTCACTATAGGTGAAAACAGAATAAATTCTAGTAAAGTCTGTGCATGCTCTTGTTTTTCCCTTTACTATCTTTTAAAATCAATCCAATTAACATCAACCTATGCAGTGACAAGTCCCTCTAGGTTATTTGAAAGTATTTGGAATGTAAAGATTATCAAAAGGTGTGCCAGGAAGTTTGTGAACCATAAAAGAGTGAATATGATAATTTAAGTCATTAGTATGTTTTTTTTTTAATGAAATGGGCCAACTTCTCAGTTAAAATGTATTAAGACTTGAAGAAACATCTTTTGGGGTCATCCAGACATACAAACTGTAGCTTTAGCCTTCTAAATTCTTGAGATTGGGATCCTGGGAAGAAAACCACCATCTGTACACTGGTATAGTGTTTTTGTTTGGATTTGGTAACAGCTTTATTGAACTGAAACTACAGTTGACCCTTGAATAATATGGGTTTTGAAGTACATGGGTCCACATATACATGGATTTTTTTTCAATAAATATATTGGAAACACTTTTGGAAATTTATGACAATTTGAAAAAACATTTTCTTTTCTCTAGCTTTATTGTAAGAACATGGTGTATAATACATTATAATATACAAAATATGTGTTAATTAACTGTTTATGTTATCAGTAAGACTTTTGGTCAACAGTAGGCTATTAGTAGTTATGTTTCTCAGAGTCAAAAGTTATACACAGATTTTTGACTGCACTGTGGCTGGTGCCCCTAACCTCTACATCATTCAAGGGTGAACTATAGTGTTAATTAAATAAAAGGAGAGAGAGAAGCCAGGCAGAGTTGATAAGTTCATAGTGGCTAGAAAGAGGGAATAAGTCCTAGTGTGAAACCAAAGTGACGAAGATTGGAGAGATGATGAGAGAGTAAATGTTAGGAGAGGGTGGGTGGCAGGTGCAGTTTGAGGTACTCTGAGTCAACAAGAGGAAAGAGAGTTGCTATGTGGGATTTTTATAGGATTCTTATGGCTCTGGGCTTAAGGGGAGTAATTAAAAGCACTATCCTGGGATATATTGGAGTTCATGAATTAGAACAGACTTTGTAGCAAATCTGGTGCAAAATATCTTCTCTGTATTTTATTTAAGATTTTTATTCTTCAGATGACCTATGAGAAATAGGGAATAAAAGGAAAAATAACTGGATCCTGGCTTTAGAAGAGTTTACAAAATTTGAAATAATAGACTGAGATGATAAATATGAAAGAAGTGGATAATCATTGACTGAAATTTGTGTTGCATAATCTTTTTTCTTAAAAAAAACCTGACAGTGTAACATAGGTGGTTTCCTCTGTGAAGGGCTAAATATGTCTTTCTTATTGATTCTTATGTGTAAGCCCTAAATCTACTAAAGTTATTGGCTATACTTAGGCTTTTGAAACAGAATAAAGTTTCTAATATTTGTTTTCTAAGTTTGCAAATAGCTTTTTGTAATGTTCTATTTTGAGTATCTCACAATCTAATAAAGTTAATTTTTCCTTTCTTAATCATCTTTACTTGACAAGAATTGGGAAGGTTATAAATTCTGTATGTGGACAAGACTGGGATCAATTGCTGACAACAAGATTTTGATTAGAAATAATAAGAATCTATGAGAACACAAATGTGAAAATCTTCTGGTGGAAAAAAGATAACAAACCTAGGGTGTTCACTCCATCTCAGTCTTTTCAACCCTGTAACCCACCAAACCAACTCTGGAGAAGTTATGTCAGTGGTTAAGAAAACTTGGAATGTTGTTTTTGACATGGTCTAATGAATCCATCTCATGCAAGTTCATAAATAGTGTGTTAGTTGTAAGTCTATTAGTTTGTAAGTCTATTACTATAAAAAATAGAAGCAAAATTTTTTGTCTTATATACCAAAACTTACACATGTTGAAATATATTTTAAAATCAGTATTTCCAGGAAATTTTCACATACATATTCCCAGAAAAATAACCTATGATGAAATAATTTTTCAATACCAAGTAAATTCCAGATAAGGTGATGGCAGCTCCACTATCATTAATAGCTCTTAAAATAATAATGTCAACTCTGGCTAATTGAATCCCTGGAGCTCTAAAGGCTCAAATTAACACCCAGCAGCTTGTGCCTTGGCAAGGGATTGCCAATATCAAGGCAGAGCAAGTCCTTTTATAAGAGAGCTAAATAGGGATGAGAAGGAGCATATTCTTAGTATAGGAAATTCTAAATATAACACTCCTCTGATATGGAGATTGAAATGGTTGATGCACTTTTATCTCTACCAAACATTTCTTTTTCCTTTCACAGAAATCATACATGCATACAAAAAAGCAATTATTTACTCAGTCCAGTTTTATTGCATGCTTACAGTGTTCCAGGCCACTTCTCTAAGAACAGGAATGAATATGAAAAATAATACTCTTGACATTATACAGTTTACATTCTAGTAAGGGGAGATAGATGATAAACAAATAATTGAATAAAACAAGAAAAATGTCAGATAAGATATCAGATAGGGTACAGTTTTCTATTGATGCTATAACAAGTTACCATAGACCTACTGACTTCAAACAACATGTATTTATTATCTTGTAGGTGTGAAAATCAGAAGTCTGAAATAGATTTCACTGGGCTGAAATCAAGGTATCAACTGGGCTGTGTTAATTCTGGGGTATCTAGGTAAGTATCCATTACTTTGCCTTCCCAGCTTCTACAGGCCTCCTGCATTCTTTGGCTTGAGGTACTTTCTCCAACTTCAAAATGCAGTACTCCAACTTTTATTCCCATCATTTTATCTCCTTTCTCTGACTCTAAACCTCCTGCTTCTCTCTTACAGAATCCTTGTGATTATATTGGGTCTACCTCTTTAGTCCAGGCTTATCTCCCCATCTCAAGATTTTTAACTTAATCACATGTAAAGTCATTTTCATATTCATAGGGGGTTGAGAATTTGGAATATCTTTGAAGGGCCATTATCCAGTTTACCTTAGTGGTAAATGAGATGCAGTGAAGTAATGTGGACAGTTCTATAAAATGATTCTGATTTGCTCTTTTAGTTGGTCAAGAAAGTCTATGTAAACAGGGATATTTAAGCTGAGATCCTTATGATAAGAAGGAACCAAAACTTGGAAAATCAGGTGGTGGAGCACTCCAGGTAGAAGACAGAACTAGAAACAAGGAAAATAAAGAAGGTCAGTATGCTGGACCTTAGTTACCTACTAGGAAAGCAGTATGAGTAGAGATAGGAAATTGATATGAGTAGAGATAGGAAAGGTAAGTTGAAGTCAAATTATGTAGGATTTAGTAAACGGGGGTAAGCAAACAGATAAGTATATTTGCATCTGGTACCTTCTCTAGGCCACAATTCAAGAGAGAAATGATAGGCGCTGAAACTTTACATAACTACATAAGAGGTATATTAGGTAACCTGATAGAGAATAGCAACTGAAAATCAAAGCTGTGAGTTGTATAGATTTAACAAAAATAAGCTTAAAGTTTTGGCAAGATGTGGTATGTCTACTGACTTCTTGAAGTTGTCGAGTCTGCAGAATCTATACCAAATCATCTGCAAAGATTCACTAGAGGGTCAATTAAAAAAGAGGAGATTGACTTTAGAAATGGACACTGTGGCAATTTATGCAGTCATCAGGAAGAGACTTCGAAGTGAAGTTCCATTTCAAGGCCAAACTGGGAAGCATAGGTTTTTCCATGAGGGATAGGACTCCCAGTCAAATGGATCCTTCAGTGGGAAAGATGTTTGACAAGTGAAAGTTCCATTAAAATAGGGACATATCACCATGGCTGAACTGCAGGTCCATTTTTCAAATTCTTAAGTCTTTCTAAAATGGCATCCTATTTTCTTTCTTAGGAAAATGGGAAAATAATTTAGGAACCTACCATTCATTCCTTCCTGAAATTTAGAGGGTTTCTGTGTGGGGGACTGAATACAGTTGGGATTGAAAATATAATCACCCTTTATTCTTTTTATTATTCTTTTTTTTATTAAAGTATCATTAATATACAATTTTATGTTGGTTTCGAATGTACATCACAGTGGTTCAACAGTTCCTGTGTGATTTTGAATTATTGTGCTCTTTTATCCCCCTTCCCCCCACACCCATCCCAACCCCTCCCCTGGTAACCACTAGTCACTTCTTGGTGTCTGTGAGTCTAATACTGTTTTGTTCCTTCTGTTTTGATTTGTTCTTATATTCCACATATAATTGAAATCATACAGTATTTTTCTTTCTCCTTCTGGCTTATTTCACTGAGAATAATACCCACTAGATCCATCCATGTTGTTGCAAATGGCAGGATTTCTTTTCTTTCTATGGCTGAATAGTATTCCATTGTGTATATGTACTACCTCTTCTTTATCCATTCATCTACTGATATACACTTAGGTTGCTTCCATATCTTGGCTATTACAAATAGTGTGATAAACATAGGGGTTCATATATCTTCTTGAATCAGGGATTTCGTTTTCAGGTAAATTCCAGTAGTGGAATTACTGGGTCAAATGGTATTTCTACTTTTAGTTTTTTGAGATACCTTCATACTGCTTTTCACAGGGGTTTCACCAATTTGCATTCCCACCAACAGTATAGGAGGGTTCTTTCTTCTCCACATCATTGCCAGCATTTGTTGTTTTGTGTCTTTTGGATAGTGGCCTTTCTAACTGGGTGAGGTGATATCTCATTATGGTTTTAATTTGCATTTCCCTGATAATTAGTGATATGCAGCATCTTTTCATGTGCCTGTTGGCCATCTGAATTTCTTCTTCGGAGAAGTGTCTGTTCAGGTCCTCCACCCATTTTTGAATTGGGTCATTTGTTTTTTGGCTGTTGAGGTATATGAGTGCTTTATATATTTTAGATGTTAACCCCTTATCAGATGAGTCATTATTAATATATTCTCTGATACTTTAGGATGTTTTTTTTGTTCTACTGATGGTATCCTTTGCTGTACAGAAGATTTTTAGTTTGATGTAGCCCCACTTGTTCAGTTTTGATTTTGTTTCCCTTGTCCAAGGAGACATGTCCAGGAAAAAATTGTGAGGCAATATCTCATTCTTCTTTATCCATTCATCTACTGATATACACTTAGGTTGCTTCCATATCTTGGCTATTACAAATAGTGTGATAAACATAGGGGTTCATATATCTTCTTGAATCAGGGATTTCGTTTTCAGGTAAATTCCAGTAGTGGAATTACTGGGTCAAATGGTATTTCTACTTTTAGTTTTTTGAGATACCTTCATACTGCTTTTCACAGGGGTTTCACCAATTTGCATTCCCACCAACAGTATAGGAGGGTTCTTTCTTCTCCACATCATTGCCAGCATTTGTTGTTTTGTGTCTTTTGGATAGTGGCCTTTCTAACTGGGTGAGGTGATATCTCATTATGGTTTTAATTTGCATTTCCCTGATAATTAGTGATATGCAGCATCTTTTCATGTGCCTGTTGGCCATCTGAATTTCTTCTTCGGAGAAGTGTCTGTTCAGGTCCTCCACCCATTTTTGAATTGGGTCATTTGTTTTTTGGCTGTTGAGGTATATGAGTGCTTTATATATTTTAGATGTTAACCCCTTATCAGATGAGTCATTATTAATATATTCTCTGATACTTTAGGATGTTTTTTTTGTTCTACTGATGGTATCCTTTGCTGTACAGAAGATTTTTAGTTTGATGTAGCCCCACTTGTTCAGTTTTGATTTTGTTTCCCTTGTCCAAGGAGACATGTCCAGGAAAAAATTGTGAGGCAATATCTCATTGTGGCTTTGATTTGCATTTCCCTGATAGTGAGTGATGTGGAACATCTTTCAATGCGTCTGTTGGCCATCTGTATTTTTTCTTTAGAAAAATGTCTCTTTGGGTCCTCTGCCCATTTTTTAATTGGGTTAGACCAATTATTTACTAAACAAATATGAAGTTATAAAAAATAAAAGTAGTAAAATAACTATACAGTTAGTCAAGGGATACACAAAATATGTAAATTATGACACATACATAAAATTGGGAAGAGGAAGAATAAAAAAGTGTACTTTTATATTATGTCTGAAATAGAGTGACCATCAACTTAACAGAGACTGTTACATACATAGGAAACAATCTATGAGACTTATGGTAACCACAAACCTAAAGCCTATAGTAGATACATGAAAAATAAATAAAAAGAAAATCCAAGCATAACACTAAAGAAAATCCTCAAATAACAAGAGAAGAGTATAAGAGAAGAAAAAGGGAACAGAGAGGAACTACAAAATAACCAGAAAACAATACAATGGCAATAAGTACATACCTATCAATAATTACCTTAAATATAATTGGACTAAGTCCACCAATTAAAAGACATAGAGTGGCAGAGTGGATAAAAAGACATTTCTATCTATATGCTATTGGTAAGAGACTCATTTCAAATCTAAAGACATACATAGATGAAAGTGAAGGGATGGAAAGATATATCATGCAAATAAAAGAGAGAAAGAAGAAGTAGCACTACTTATATCAGACAAAATAGACTTCAAAAAAAAAGTAATAAGAGACAAAGACATCACATAATGATAAAGGGATCAGTCCAACAAGAGAATATAACAATTGTAAATATAGATGCATCCAGCATAGGAGCACCTAAATAAATAAATATATATAATACTAAAGGACCTAGGATGAAATAGCAACATGATCATATTAGGGTATTTTAATATCCCACTTACACCAATGGACAGATCATATAGACAGAAAATAAATAAGAAAAGTTATTAAATGTCACATTAGACCATATGAACTTAACAGATATATACAGAATGTTCTACCCAAAAGCAGCAGGGTACATATTTCCCTCAAGTGCACATGGAACGTTCCCCAGAAGAGATCACATATGAGGACACAAAAAGAGCCTCAATAATTTAAAAATATTGGTATTTCAAGCACCTTTTCAGATCACAATGGTATGAACCTAGAAATCAATTACATGTACAATGCAGCAAAAGAGGTTCTAAGAGGGAAGTACATAGCAATACAGGTCGACCTCAAGAAACAAGAACAACACCAAATAAACAGTCTTAACTCACAACTAAACAAGCTAGAAAGAGAAGAAAAAATGAAACCCAAAATTAGTAGAAGGAGAAATATAATAAAGATCAGAGTAGAAAAAATAGGGAATAATAAAATAGAAAAATATCAGTGAAGAGCTGATTCTTTGAGAAGGTAAACAAAATAGACAAACCCCTAGCTGAACTTACCAAGAAAAAAAGAGAGGACACAAAATCAGAAATGAAAAAGGATAAATTACAATTGATACCACAAAAAGACAAAGAGTTATTGGAAGATTCTATGAAAAATTATATGCCAATAAATTGGGCAACCTAGAAGAAATGGGCACATTTCTAAAAAAATACAACCTTCAAGACCTAACCCAGGAAGAAACAGAAAATTTGAATCAACCGATTGCCAGTAACAAAATTAAATAGTTTTTCAAAAAACTAAGAAAATTCCAGGACCATATAACTTCAGAGCTGAATTCTACCAAACATTTAAAGAAGAGCTAATACCCATCCTTGAAGTATTCCAAAAAATAGAAGAAGGAATACTTCCAAATTCATTTTATGAGGCCAGTATCACTGTAATACTAAAACCAGACAAAGACAACACAAAAAAAGAAAAAGACCAAGATCTCT